CCCGCCGCGGCCGCGCTCCTCCTCCAGCTCTCTCTGCTGGAAAACTAACTTGAGTCTCTGGTCTCGCGGATGCTCGCAAATCCCTAGGAACTTAATTATCTTTGAGGTTTCTACCTCTTTTATTCATTTGTTTGCAACTAGCCAATGTGTTCTGACATTTTTATGAGGGGCTGATGGGCGGATAAACAGTCAGATGATTGATTATCGGTCTTTAGGAAGGAAGGTTGTTGCCCCGTGGTCGTGGAGATAACCTGCGAGCAACCCAAACAGCTAAAAAAGAGCATCGAATCCTTTACAAAGCTTTGAAAATTGCACTTTCTGTGTGCAGACAGTTTTGATTGTCTGCGTGCCCACATGTCGGATCAACCTCCTTACATCCTGCTTGGGGAGGTCCCATACCTCAACTCTCTTCTGAAGGGTGGGGAGGGGGAAGAAAGGGAAAAAAAATATTCTTAATTAAGCAGCAATTCATCATCTGTACTGGGCAACCACTGAGATTCAGCCTGCCCTAGCACTCCTGCTACCACCATCCTTTATAACAAATTTTTACCAATAATGGGAAAGCAAAAAGCACAAGTAGGATACTACCTGAATGGGTTTAGTCTCATGGCAAAGATATAAACAAAGCATCTATAAGGATTTTTCACTCTCTATTTGATGTCTCAGAGGGCACTGCATCATCTTCTGCTAGTGACTGAAATGACCCAAATATACATATTTATATTTTTACAGTCCATACATCACCCTGGGATCTACTTTTTCTGTATAAAAAGTGCCAGATCAATCTAAAGTGTTATTATTAAATTTGTGAAATGTCACTGTGCACATCCTGATTTTCATGCCCTTTGCACCAAGCTCACATGGCAGATCAATTTGTAAACATCTGGGGTTGTTCTTTGCTTGATGGATTTCTCAGTGTCCATTTTCCAACAATCCAAAAAAAAAATGTTTAGGGGGAAATAACCTAAGATGAACTGTACAATTCCCTTCATTTTTTTCCATTGATGCTGGAAAAGATTTGATTCACACAGAGAAAGTGGGTTTTGGTATTTCCTAACCAACCCTCACTTGATACGTTTGTTTACCCCTGTGCAAAATACTACCCAGTCAGAATTTTCCATATGTTTAGTTTTGCATATACTTTTTACAGATATAAATTGCTGCACAAAGGTATGAGATAGAAAACCCCAGCAGTCTCTGGGTAAAATTTCCATGTGGAATTCACAGAAAACCTTATATGGACGTGTGCAATACCTATATACATATGCATAATTATTACAAGTAGCAGCCCCTGAAGTCAAGACTTGATTTCCTGACATTGCCCTGGTTTTATCTGGTTGTGTGTTAGCCTGGTTAAGAGAGCCTTGGTTAATGAAGAGGTTCATATAGGCAATGCTTGGTTTTTTTAAGGCTATCTTAGATTTTTTGAGGAATTTAATTTAAAAATTGTAAGAACAAAAATTTACAAAAATTTTCATCAGAAAGTTTAGTGATGTTTTAAAATGTAGATAGTATAGAAATTAATATAAAATATTGACAACAAATATCTAGCCCTGTCCTTTTTTTTCCCTTCTATTTTTTTGTTGTTTAAATAAGCTCCTCACAAACACATATACACAAACACACCAGTATAAACCAGACAAACCAGCATGTGCAACTTTGATTAAGGAAGCTGCCTAGCAAAAACACTGAAGCTATTGCTCTGCCATTCATTTTAACCACAGCCAATATGCTTACAGTTGGTGGTATTGGTAAATTCTTCAACTGGTTGAAGAATTGACCATTTGGATCAGCTAACTGCCATGCATGCTTTTATAAATATATCTGTATTATAGAAAAAAAAAATAATATCATTATCTACTAATACTTTAATTCATTTATTATGGAGATGTAGGCTATGGGAAGGCAATTACAAATAAGAATTCATTATTAGAGTGTTCTGTTCAAAAGTAGAAAATCAGATTTACCTCTTCTCTGCTGGAAGTAATGCACCTTTTTCCATAACTTCAGACACTGCATGATTACTATTTTCCAAATATATATTGCAGAAATTTTATGTTTATAATATTAAAGCATGTCTGAACTATAATAATTTAGAATGCAGCTTAAATAGTAGGAGTTTAAGATGGTACAACAGCATAAAATAAGCTGTTGTTTTTTGTCATTTTAAAATATTTGGACCTTTCAGAATTCATCAATGACAATTCTGTTAAGAAGGAAAATTCAAATATTGACTACTATCACAGAGGATGTATTTTACCTTTTTATTCAAAGGAAGATTTCCAAGATAATATGTGTATTTTAAATGACTAGCTAAGCTTCCATCATACAATGGCAACTAATCAATAAATCATGTGCCATTGTTGTAGCTCAGCATGTCAAATAGCTGCATTTCAGTGTCCACACTTGAAGGTGTTGAGCAATTTTTTTGTTCTTGTACATTTCTAGCTCATTAGCCCTGATTCTAAGGGTGGTTATTTTCATATCAATGAAATTGGTAGAAGAATCACGTCTTACCTGCTTCTGCCAAAGGAAGGAGATGGAATGGGGTAATGAATGGGAAACTTCTGTCCCTTAACACTGCTTGCCACCCCATGTGGGTTTGCTAAAGCAGCTTTTCCTTGTGAGCAACATGGAAAATAAACACATGGCATCCTGTTAGACGTACTGGACGTTTTGATGCTCATGGGAGATGGTAAAAGGATGAATGTATTTGAGAGCAGCTTTTGGCATACATAAATCATGAGGTTTGTACTGAGACCTGGGACATCCAACTCGATGGATTTTGGTTAGATAACAGCATGAAGATGGACTAATAAACTTCCAGTTACCCTGCACATGTCTATTATATTTGCCTACCAGAACTCCAGTGCAATCTTCATCTGCCATATGAAAACTGCCCTGCATGAGTAGGTGAAATAGGTGGCCAGTATGCATGCAAATCTCTAGTTTAAGAATGGTAGAAAACAGCTGAAAAAGCATTAACCTTTGGTATGATCCCCCATTGCCATTAATCACATTTGGAGTGCCTTTGACACTCTGTCAGAGTATCTAAAAATGTTCTTGATGAAAACGGTTGGTTCACTTGGACTCTGGCCAGAATAAAGTGGTGTTTGTCCTCAGAGAGATGCAACGAAGAACTAGCCAAAGTGCAGTTGCTGTCTTTTGTCTGCAGTAAACAGCTCTAGCTCATCAGAATATTGCAAAATCTCAGTGTACTCTTTGCATCAGTCTTAAAAATGCCTGATTTTTTTCATGTTTTAATTTATTAGAAGATTAAGTTATTTTCTTGTGGACAATAACTCAGGATGTAATAAACCTAAAATATAAAATATGTAAAATATCACAGGCACATCACATAGCTGGAACTCATGCAATCTAAAGTGAATTGTGAGGGTTTGTATAGGTTTCTGCAAGTACAAAACACAGATGCTCAGTTTTCCAATGGCTCTGTTTTATATGTGTGTATGTATATACATCAAGTCTGTGCTTGTACTC